AAAAATATTCAACATTTGCTCAACATCATAAAAGCAAAATACCGAGACTAAACAATCTGACTTCCTTGCAATCTCTCTTACGATGAGTATTCATGTTATTGAAACCAGATGCCAATTACACTTGTTGTTAGATAGTGTACGAAAGATGTTAGCTGTGTTTCTAATGTTGACATAGTTACGGTGTCAAATGTTTTTAAATAATAAATTTTGACTCGTAAACACTTGAGTTGAGTTGATCTACTGCTCAGTAGTGTTGGTAAGAGGAGATTAATGTTCCGTGCTTCAGAGAAGTCGAAATGTAAAACTTGAACATTTAAAAATAGCTTGAGACAGGCTTGAGTATGTGCCGGATCACATTTTAAATATGAATAGTTAGACATGTAATAGATCTCTTCAAATATGAACAGATTTGATTATGTGTAAAATCATCTGTCAGCGTCTGTATCTAATCGGATTTAGAGATAAAGAAGATAAACTTATGCAATGCTGCAAAAGTTGAAGAAACGAATCGCTGGATAAATACAGGGTAGATAAATTCAAACGTTTAATCTTTGACCAGCAAATTATTTGTTGCAAAGAAACAAGAGGAAAAGTGATGTCTAAACAATGTCGATTTCTGGCGCTTAATGTCAACGATTGAGCGTTTGGATAGTAATGAGATGGTGACGACGTTGTTGTTGGTTCTGCAGTGCCGGGCATAACTAGTACTTTTAAATTGACTATTTTATTATGTGGATCGCTAGAAAATCTAAAAAATCATGATGAGGCACTCCTATCATAGAGCAAAACGCTGAAATATACCTGATTTTACTATTATTTCTCATTGCTCTCATTGATGTATGATGCATCGAAATTATATGGTAGCGTATAAATATGCGCATAATGGAATTCGTCGATATAATCACATTGAATAAACCATTGGTGATTGGACCAAAACAATGTTTGAAATGATAATGCTAGCCGATTAAATTCTCGAATTGTACGTATTGGTACCATAATTAGATTCAAATGAAATGTTTTCGACAAAGAAAAACCCGACAATAGTTTTTCATACTCTTGACCGTTCATTACTTTGTCGGAAAAGTCAGTGCGTACGATAGATATGTAAGTTTAGATACTGATAAACGTTTTAACAATAATGCAATATGAGAAAACGTGGGTTCACCACTTGCCACTGTAAAATGTGTCAAATTTGGGACTAAACCGAATACATCCAGATGGTTATAATTATTTCTTACTCCTAAAACAGAAATATTTTGATGTGCAGCTATTTAATGACCAGTATATATCGCTTGAAACTGAAGAGTAAAGTCGGAGCTTTGATTTTAATATGCAGAAAACAACGCATCAACACAACTCTGTTTTAACTTAAATGTGTACAACCAGTCGGCAAATTTTCGGTATAAACCGCAATAATTCAACGAAATCATCATACCAGAGACAAGACAATGAAACATAGCTGATATTAGAAGATTGAATCGTGTTAAAATTTACGCTTGACCTTACACACTCCCATAATAATGGCCCCGTAAACGATATTAAACTTTGTTTTGAAGATATTTTTTCTAGATCATTAGGAGAAAAATCAAAAAATCATTCTCAATTGTCAAATGGGTTAATTTTGGTAAATCAATCGAAAATAGTTGAGATAGTTGATCCTGAGTTGGTTCAATCACAATTAAAGATTCTAGATAAGACAAAACAAGACTTATTTATGATAAAATGGCTACGTCTCAAAAGAGATACTTTTTTTTGCAAATTCACACTCAGTTTCAACTTCCCCCCTTGATGTTGTTTGATCTTGCAACGTCAATTAGGACAGCTTTGTACCTCTGTTTTAAGGTTATTAGTCAGCCAAAAAGGATAAAGAATTCATTGTTTCCTCATTTCTGCTTCAACTGTAGTAAAAGAGTTGAATCCACGTTGACTAAAATAAAAATAAAGAATAATTTATTTACTGAAATTTCAAATATTTATCTATTAAATAAAGCTGGTTTTAATTAAAAACACGCCTTTTTCTTGAATTGAATAGACCATTTGTGAGCTTATAGAGTATACCTGAAAAAGTACATAAAAATGCTAAAAATTTATTTGTAGTGAAATTCGATGATAAATTCAAATCCAAAATGTTACCAAAGTCTAAAATATTATGACATAGAAAACATTAGACGAAGAATCAAACAGGTATAGTTAAATTAAAAATACATTTCGACCAGATCCAGAGTAAATTTAATAGACTTTACTTTTATAAATAACCATGATTCTTTTGGATCTGATTGAAGATTTAATTTTTTCTGTTAAAGTTGGAGTGAGGGATGATGACCGAATGAAATGAAGAAAGTAAAGTCTGTAATATTTACTTCGGGTGAAATCTCTTAAGTATTTTTGATTATTATTATGAATAAATGAGGAAGAAAAAAAGCTGAAAACGATCATAGACTAAAAATACTTGAAAGACTCCACCTAAAGTAAATATTACAAGCTTTACTTTTTTCATTTCATTCGGTCATCACCCCTCACTCCAACTTTAACAGAAAAAAAGTGGACTCTTCTATTACATCCAAAAAAAATCATGATTATCTCTAGCATTATACTATCAATGATATTTTCAATCTTTGTTGTTACATTGTATTATTAACTGGTACAACATCTACTAGTTGTGTAAATTTTAATGGTCCTTTACCAGGAGTGATTATCGTAGCCCGCTTCGTCAAACGGGATATTGTATTGCATATTGTGGACAAAAAGGTTACAGCATTGATTACTGTCTTATACTTAAAAATAAAAATGGTTGTGAGTGTTGTAAATAATTATGTCTGTATTTAGATAGGTCCACAAAAAAAGACCACTGGTTAAAAAATTATTTATTTAATAATTATAGTTGTGTTAAAATTTTATTCATGTATTACTTTCCCTGCATTAATGGAATAAAAATATTTCTCAAAAGGGAAGGGCACAGTGTGCAACGATCAGAACATTTAGCCAAAAATCGATTGTGTGATATTTTCAGATTGAGATACCGAATAATATACTTTGATGTCTGAACTGTCGGATGCCGAAACAATTTTGTTCTAACTATAAAGGATCGTCTGTAAACACTTAACGAAAAGAGTGCAAAAAGATGACACCGATCAAGCGGTTCTTCTCACCCGTTTTTTTCCACCAGTTTGTAGAAGACATTTATAACTTCAGGACATATACTTCGAAGTATCCTCTACAAACCAAGAAGAAAATCTGAATGTCTTCTTACGGTCCCGGAACGCTTTTATTAAAAACTAAGGTCATATTCGGAATTAGCGTAAAGAACTTCATCGAACTATGTATGACATCAAAGTTGAATTTAAATTAATTTGTTTTGTCTTAAAATGGTTCTATAGACAATGATTTCTGATAGACGAAAGACGATGAGATTACAGGTATCTATGATCTTTCTGTTATCAAAATAATCAAAGTAATGATTATTTCATAAAAGTTAGTGCAGTTCAAAGATACTCCGTGATCTTTTCAATGCTTCCATTAACAAAACATTTTTGCCATAATAGGGCCATAGAACTGCAGTAATCCCTGTCTAGAACAAATCGATAAATATAAACATTATTTAGTGGACGATTGAAGTGTCTTCATTCATTCAGTTGGTCAAAATAAAACTTCGCTGCTATGATGAAGAGATTCTCATATATTCTAGTCTTGAAACCAAAAAGAGCTATCCTTTGATCTGAACCGTTACAAGTCTCTTTATATTCACACAAGAGTGTAAGAGTGAGGATGGGAACAACATCTCTTAAACAGCATCTCTCACACGCGGTTACCTGCGACAGCGGCTGTCTTGTAACATGTCGCACGTTGATCGTATTAATGATAGTCCAACTATACCAGCATCGTATATAGATGCTCCAACATGAAAGTTACAATAAAAAAAGTATAAGAAATACTCAATGAAAAAAGAAGAAATTATTTTTATTTTCCAAATTTCAGATTATTTTCTTAGGAAAAACGAGACAGTATTCAAAGTTTTATTCAACAAAAAATTGATCAAACACCTCTCAAACAGTATTAAGCACCCCATATTTCTGGCCATGACCACGGTGATGGTGAACCGCTTGCTGAATTTGCTTGATGTCGAAATGCTGCCCAGGCAAGAGTTTGTTGGGTAAAAAATTCAAAGTCATTCCATCGTGCGTTTGGCACCACTTGCCATATGACCCATGGAACACCGTTGCCATGTGCAGCATAAGCTACACTATTCAATGCCGATTCCATTTGTTTATCGCCTCTATCACCAAATTCTTCTACATACACGCGTTTACCATAGGTTTGTGCTAACTGAACCGCTTCTTTCACCTTAGATACTGCAAAATTGTAATTTGTCGTATAATCGTGAAGTCCAATTAAATCAAGAGCTTTGCATTGAAAGTATTCTAAACAAAATGCATCATATGTTTAGTGAGATAATTGTTATAAATCTAACACTTACCTAAACGTAGACTATTTCCAAATTCTGTACCACCTCCACTCGACAACAATACACCGTTGCTTACTAATGGTCTAATTCTTATACTTAAATCACATAGCCAATCTGAAGTATATTTATTCATATGTCCCTGACTTTCATTTTCTATTTGTATAGAAAATATGGCTTGACTAAGTGAACCCCATTGTCGATTATAATATGGATTGACGTGTGTGAGAATATGTCGTGCACGTATATACATGTCTTGTCTAGCTTGCGAATTTGTGTAGAAGTTTGACGCATCATTAGGCGGTGAACAAGATTGTGCGGCAGGTATTTGATATTTATCGGTATAAGCATCTCTCTTATACGCATAACAACCCAGAGAATAGCGATCATGCAAAGCAATAATTAATTTCATCCCATTTCCATACTTAGCCAAATTGACAATCAATTGATCAATTTGGTTCAAAACATTATCGTCATATTTTCCAACTTGATATCGTTCCAAATCGTCTGCTCCCATTGCATTTGAACCAGCTTGTTTTGAGTCGATGGTAGCTATGAATATACGCAATACTTTGATTTGAGTTGAAGCTAATGTTTGAATTAATTGTATTTGTTCCGACTGAGGTAAATTCCATGCAAAAAAATGAATTGGCACCAGCCCATGTACGTCGGTTGGAGCCATGAACAGAATTAACAATCAATAGCAACGTGAGAAATAGATGCAGAAAGTCATACATATTTTCTAGCAACTAAACATGATTAAAAATAACGATTTTAAGGTGTGAATGACGGAAGATGGGTCTTTGGAGTACTGTAATGTAACAGCCTACAACGTACGAAGAAATGAAATTGCAAAGTACTATTTGTAGGCGTTGTATCGCAACAATCTTTCAAAGATGAGAGTTTTCATCAAATTCATCAAGATATAACGAATTTTTTATTCTAATATGGTGGTTTAAACCATCGAACAAAAGTCGAAGCTCTTCATTTATCGTCGTTATTGAATGATATTAGTTTTCCTAGAAGCTAGAGGATCATATTTGCAAAAGCTCGATATGAATGGGAACATCGGCCATCGACCGTTCCGTGTCTAATTGCAATTTATAGTTTGCTTTTTAAGAAGAAAGTGAGACTTCTTATAATTCAATGTTTTTTTTCCAAAATTAAAGAGTTCTGAAGTTTGGTCATATAGAAAACGGTTTTTAGTGATGAAAAGGATTTTTTATCTGTTCTAAATAACCCTATTTCTTTTATAATACGCTTTTCAAGCATTTTGGACATAGAATAGAACGTTTTGTGTTTAAAGTTTTAGTTCTGTTACAGTCTGCTTACGAGGGAACCGTCTGAGGTGCTAAAAATCTTTTTGAGTGGGACTATTTTTAAAATGTAGATCCTCATGGACTATGAAGAATCCCAACTTGGTTCGTGCGCAATCAGCTTTGTTGCTGA